CTTTGGTTTCTAAGCCCAGTATACCCAGTACAAAAATGTATACACCACTGACTCTGACTACAGTGAAACATGGAGGAGGCTCGGTTCTGCTGGTTGCTGCATCTGGCCCAGGGTGCCTTGAATCTGTGAACGATACAATCAGATCTCAAGACTGGGGAGGTTCTGGAGCCAGATATGATGCTCAGCGTCACAAAGCTCGTCTGTCACCGGCGGGTCCTCCAGCAGGCAATGACACCAAACACAGTTCAAACAGTGAAGATGGCCCAGCAGCAAACCAGTGCAGCCCTCCTGAAAACCCTGTGGAGCCTCTGTGGAGCTGAAAGCTGCTCTGGACAAAGAACCCTTCAATCATGAAACACGTTTCTTTTCTTGGCCACCGCAATCACAAACACAAACATTCCTAATGGGCAGCACGGTGGTGCAACTGGTAGAGCTGCTGCCTCTCAGCAGCAGGTCCTTGGTTCAAACCCCGGTCCAGGGGCCTTTCTGGGTGGAGTTTACATGTTCTCTCCGTGCATGCGTGGGTTTTCTTCAGGTACTCCAGTTTCCTCCCACAGTCCAAAAACATGCATGTTAGACTGATTGGTAACTCTAAATTGTCCCTAGGTGTGAGTGAGAGAGTGAATGGTTGTTTGTCTCGTTTGTCTCTCTGTGTCCCTGTGATGGACTGGAGACCTGTCCAGGGTGTCCCCCGCCCCTCGCACAGTGATTGCTGGACATGGGCACTGGTGACCCCCGTGACCCAAAATGGAATAAACGGGTAAAGAAAATGGATGGATGGATATATTCATAAAACAAGAACAAATATTAAATATTCTTTGTGTCAAAGGTTGAACAAGTTGTTGGAAACATTCTGGTCCACACTGCATCATCCTGCTGCTCATCCATGCTCAATGGGATTTACCTGTATAAATAAAGGTTGATTGATGATGTTCCACCACATCACGTCTCCCCCAAACCCAGAGGTTGTCCTCCGCAGCAGCTCCAAGCACAGCTCCAAGCACACGCACACGCACGCTCCGTCTTACCTTCAGCTTGCAGACCCGGCTCCTCCAAGAGCTGCCATGGTTCCTGGAAATGGGGGGAGAGACGTCGGGCGTGCTGGACTCGCACTGAAGCAGTTTGCTCACCTGGCCAGGGGCCTCACAGGTGACGCGCAGCAGCAGGTAACTTGATGCGTTCAGGGTCGGTCCGAGAGGTTCACAGTCGGACTCCAGTTGAGAAGTTCAAACTTAAAATGACTGGAGATAATATCAGTGAACACTTTCCCTGTGGTATTAGACACGAACACTGCGAGTTCCTATTTATTTATTTCTCTCCAGAAACAAGTGAAAGCATGGCATGTTGTCGTTAGGACAGCACTGGAAGGCATCACAGCCAGAGCATCAGCAGAGCGCCATCTTGTGGTCATTGGCAAAACATCTCATGAGCCACAAGGCCAATTTAGATGAACGATTGGAGAAATAATCATCTGTTGTACATCTTCAGCTTATTAAGTTTAGCAGTCAACACAATTCAAGATGGTTACCTTAGCTAATGAACTCAGCCAATGCAAAATGGCTAAAATTGAGTCCATTTTTCATTCATTCAACCTTTATTTATTTCTACAGGTAGATCCCATTGAGCCTCCAGGACTCATTTACAGGAGAGACCTGAGTTCAACAAAGAATCACGACAACAATGGACAGTTATAAAAGAGGCATACACATTTTTATTTTACAAATTAAAATAAGATGCAAACAAGTAACATAAAACAGCTGGATTCTAAGGCGAATGTAGAAAACTAAAAACAGGAACATGTCTGCGTTGGTTCTTGCCTTAGAGAGGTCAAAGGTCGAGAGCTTCAGGTCTTTTTACAAGATATTCCAGGAAACAGGAGCGGAGTAGGAGAAGGTCCTCTTGTCTAGTTCAGTCCTCACTGAGGGAACACTGCAGGTAATTTTTACAGAAATTTTACACCCATTGAGTTAAATTTAAGGTGGTTGTATCAGAGTCATTCTTGATTGACTTTCTGAGCTGTTTTGCTGCAGGTGATCTTCTAGCAACATGGATATCTCTCCAATAAACTGTAACTGCTGTCAAAGCTGCAAAACGCAACTATTTCTTATCTCAGACTTCCAAAAATCTAAATGACCCCAACAGATTCTGGAAAACCATCAAATCTCTCTCAGGCACCCCCCAATCATCTGACCTCCCATCACAACTTCTCATTAACTCTGTTCCTGTGTCAAATCAGCACGAGATCCTGAACTGTTTCAACAAACATTTTGTTGCTTCTGGTTCTTTATTTGACACAGTTACTAATGGAAGATCAGCCACTTCACTTAATAACCAAACTTCTACAAATCAAATCCCTCCTACAAGTCAATCCTCAGTTAATCACAGCTTCTCTTTTTCTCCATTCTCAGTCAGTGAGGTCAATAAACTGTTAAAAGATCTTGATCCTAAAAAATCTGCAGGTCCAGATGAACTTCCACCGTATTTCTTAAGGCTGGCTGCTCATATCATCACAGTCCCTGTGACCCACATCTTCAATCTCTCCATAAGACAAAACTCCATCC